CTTACAATATTTTTTACCCTTAATTTGTTCAAGGCTTGACAACTTATGTTTATCGCTCAACTTTATCTGATTATCCTTATATAATTTATCAAATATAAGGTCGGCTTTGGTTATATCGAACAAGAACGTTCTAACCTTTTTGCCTACATCTTTTATGGGCTCATCTTTGCTCGATGCTCTAGGTTTAGCCATTATAGGACAAGTATATGCATCTCCTTTGATTAATTCGGCCAAACATACTTCGGTTTGGTCATAATATTCATCATCAATGGCATGAACATCAAAATTTGGGTCTCTATAATAAGTCCCCTTACTAGAATTTTTTATTTTCTCTTCTTCTCTTATTAATCGTTTATACCCAATCACGTTTGCGCTCAATTGGAAAAGATCTGGAAATTTCCTGTCCTGGAATTTCTTTTTTAAATCGAAGCTTAGACAGTTTTGAACGATTTTGACAAATTCCTTTTCGGGCAAAGGTACCAAACACTTACTTCTTGTTGTTTTGAACCTTTGAAGGAAACCTTATACCCATTCATTTGGCATTTGACATAGATTCACCAAATCGGCCAAAGTAACTTCAAATTCAGTCTTGTAAAACTAAGCATGAAACAATTATTTCAATTGTTGCCATGTTTGAATAGAGTTTGCTGGCAAGTTAATGAACCAGGAGAAGGCTACTCCTATTAATGAACTAGGGAACAATCTCATTTTATGGTAGTCGGTTACTTCACCACTCTGTAGTGTGAATCACCCTATGTGTTCTAGAGTTGATACTTCCCCTAAACCAGTGAATACTGAAAATTCTGGCACTTTGTACCCTTTAGGCCATGAATATGCTTGATCTACCCAATCAGGGTATGGCTTCGTGTAAGTAGGCCTGATGACAAGACATACCCTAAGAGCCATTTGATCCTGTATTATTTCCATGATTTGATTCCTCAACATGACATTGGGATCATGTGAAATTCTTACGGGTTGGTTTAATGGTTGATTCACTTGAGACCTAACATTTGGTCGCCATTGTTTAGGCCATTATTACCATTAAACTGAGTGTTCAAACCATCATTAATTCGTAGGGCGTTCTGTCTATCATTCAGGACATTATCTCTTATAATTGAATTACCTCCGAGGTGGGTAATCTCATTATCACCATTCAAGTCTGACAGCCCACTACCCCCCTGGTTTGAAGTAGATGGACCACAAAGGGTGGTTCTAGTACTTGATTTAAGTTTAAACCAGAAGAATTATGTCCTACAATTGTCCTGGTTTGAAAGTGGTTTGCAACAGGCATAATTGGCTAACACATTTAGCCTACTAACTTGTTCATTATCTCATTTAATGTATTCAATTGTTTGGCCATATTATCATAATGTGCATTCCTACTTTTGGTAAATCTTTCTATATTATGAACATTTCGTAGATTTACCTGTTCAACAACATCCCGTGTGAGTTCGCCGAGCAATGCACGTATGGTTCAAGGACTCAACTCTGTCATTGGTTCGTAACGACTGTGACTACTTTGACTTTGTCCCTCTGTTCGTGGAGAGTGTTGATGCTCCTCATATCGCTCGATTACAGACTGGACTACTCCCTGACTTGCTGGTTCCTTATCAGAATGTTTATGAGGCATAAACAATTGGAAATAAACAGAATGCCTTTAAGGGGCGCAAGCACACGAGTACTGGAAATGGATAATTAAAGTTAATCTAAGAAATTAAAATTACATATTCTCTATTTGAGAGTGTTTGATTTGGGGTCTTTTTCTCTATGTCTATTCTTCCTTTTATATTCTCATGATAATTTCTTCATGACAAACCGCTTGAAAACTGCTTAATTGCTTTCTAATTACCAATTTTTTTCATGGTGGCTAACTTGACGTGGAAACGCCATCTCTAACTGCTGTCATTACTCTTTGTCATTCAACTGCCTTCAAATGGGCTCCTTAAATCGTGGAATGTGATAATCGACTCGATAACTGTTTCAATAACTGCTATTCTGGATGACCATAATATCTCATGTATTAAGATTCTGGACGACTCGAAGGTTCGGGCGAGAACGAGGTTGTCGCTCTAAGCGACCATGAGGCACTCCATTCGCCCAAATTCTGAGCGTCTTGCAGGCTTGGGCGATAATGTTACTGCGTTCGTGGACTTCCTCTGCAGTCACCAATAACCTTATTTGGCCTTTTATCCTGGACTCTCCAATTGGACTTCACTCTTTGGGTTATTCAATTTGGGCTGTACTTTTAGTGTGTTAACAACAATATCAAGAAAAGAAGAGTGGTACCCCGACGCCACGAAGGGAGCACACTTGAGGTGTGGCACCAAGGTGCCACGAATCTAAAACTTGAGGACAAAGCGCTACACATTAGGCGCTGTGGCGCCACATGGTACTGTGATGCGCCTATAAGATCACAATATCCTTTTTTTAATTCCATTTTGAGCCCTAAAAAAACCCTACATTCATACAAACGTGGGAAGGAGTATAAATACAAGTTATTGACACTTTTAGAGGGTTCCACAGATTGAGAAAAATAAAAGAATACAACCAGAGATGGAAGAGCGTAATTCAAGGAAGAAAAATATCAAGAAATTCAAGTGTTGAAGCATTGATTGGAAGATGAAAAAGATCTTAGTGCAAGGTTAATTTCTTTTTCCTACATCTTTATTTAAAACCCGGTGATGTATTCAATAACAACTCTTTCTTTTTCTTTTTGCATTATTTATTTCTTTTATTCAAGATTCTTGTTATTTTATCATACACGTGTTGATTTTTCTATGAATTTAATGCGTTAAATTACTTGATCACTAATTTGATGATTTTGTGAATTTTACTAATCGAGAGGCGAGTTTGAGATTTTGACCATATACTAAAATTCGGTATATTAGTATTACGTGTAGAGATACATATACTAAATATTGCGATCATTATATGAATTCTTAGAATTAATATTTCGTTCAACTAAGGTTCATTCGCATATAAATGTGAGATTGAATTAGTTAAATAGGTTCAATGAGAACTTGAAAGAGGAAAATTGAATATAATATAAGAAGAATTCGATCGAGCACTACATTAGACTCTTGAATCTTGAATTAAAACTTAAAGATGATCAATATGTGAAAGTGTTCTGCCCTAATATCCGTCCATTATTTGAATTCTCAATCAATCTTTGTGTGCATTTTAATTAATTTCAAGTGTTTAAACCAAAAATTCATAACATACCATTCTTTGTTTGTTTTCGTCAAATAGCAGTTAGAAAAATCTGAATAAGTTCTAAAGTATAGTCCTCATGTGAACGATAGACTCAAAGGTCCACTATATTACTTGTTACGATATCGTACACTTACAATAGAAAAACGCAACATTTATAACTAAGCACACCTTTAATCAATTTGATATTGGATTAAAGACCTTGTTCATTTAACTATTTTCTGGAATTACACATTATGGAAGTGTATTTATGGCAATGAGTATTCACATAATCACATGTATTGATATACCTGAAGTGTTAGTAAACTGTCTGTTCAATTCAGGACAACCTAGAATGGATAAGCTGGAGATTGAAGGCCAAGGTTTCCAAACCAATTTATATGCAGTCCATGGTATTTATAGCGGGGGAGAGGAGTGCAAAAGTAGAATTCAGTGGCTTAGATCAATGGTTGGAAGTCCTGACCTCATCTCCGTTCCTGGTACGATATGTTTCTGGCTGATTCTGCCATTGTTATTGAATATATGCATTGGAAATTAATTAAAATATATATATATATATGTGCTATGTTGTTGAAGGGGATACATGAACGATGTATATGGCTAATGTTGATGATGTAAGCTACAGACTGGTTGCACTTTATACGCCATTAAGAGATGATGGAGTTGAGGGGCAATCTGTGTCAACAGAGCTGATTGCAGTTGGTAAATTTGGGATCACTATTTTCTTTTTCGGTTTGCTCTCCTTATTTTTCGACTGGACATGTTCCCTATGTAAATTGAGAAGCAACTTGTTTTTCAAGACTTCATTTTCCACCAATCTAGAGTTCTGCCAGATATGTGACAAATGATAATATGATATGTATCTGATTTATAAAGTTGTATTTAGCTTATTCAAATGCTTATTTAACTTGCAGAGCCTGATGTTCTTAAAGAAGTGAAGCAGATGCTTGATCTTGGATCTGTGAAATTTGAGGTATTTGTTAACGATAATATGTTTCGTATTTAAATAACCGCAAGAGTACGGTTCGTTGACAAGTTATAAAGTGGTAATTGTAAAATTTAGAG